TAATCTTGGATTCATGTTATTACATGAAGATTTAATAGGTTTATCGTTGCATTCACTACATTATCTCAGTTTTGGAAGGGGGTGGGTAGATATTACATTTTTAATAATTAGCCCATTGCCCACGAGTGTTTTGTGCTCGATATTGGACCAAGTCCCGGCTGCCATGTAGCTGACTGCTCAAAGGAAGAATTATATTTATGGGAAATACCTGATTTTCCCACTTGAAGAGTGTGGCTGCAGCATATGATTTTCCAGTGAACAAGGCTAAAAGGTAACACTCATTTCCAGCAATCCAATGTAATAACGGATGAAGATAGTATGGGATTATTTTGTAATTGCTTTCTTGATTCTGGTTTATGTGGAATGTGTTCCTTGAAACTTGAAAGATGTGCAAGCAAATTCAGAAAGGATCCTAATTCAGAAATTCCCTCTTTTTTGTGTGTTCCTACTGATGATTTTTATCATTCCTGTTTGATTTTACTTATATGTTTATAATGCCATAATCCATTCTAGATAAGCTGTATTGGCATTGAATGTGTTTACCCTGATAACAAGGGGGTATGATAAACTATCACTGAAATATTGAGGTTGAATGACTAACACATGATATCTGTGTCCTTATCCCAACTGGCATGTTTACACATTAGGGTTTATTGTTAATATGATTTTCCCCATCAGTGTTATTCTTTGTGTTCGATTTTTTAATGATATTAAGAGATATATATATTTATAGAACATAAGATTGAGTACTTATTATTTGCTTAGTTTTCATGAAAGTTGTGAGAGCAGAATGGGTGATGTTTGTTTTCATGTAAAATAAAATACTTGTTTATGTAATGGCAACTCTTTTAGTAAGTGTTGTTTTGTGGCTTCTGTGGTCAGTTGGTAATTGTCAATGCAATTGCTGAACTAATGTTTGTGTTTTGTTAGAGGCAGTTTTAATATGTTCAGGAAATGTGGAAGGTACATCTTGTTTTCTGGTGGTAAACTGCAGGCTGTACAAGGAACTGATTGTGTTGTGCCAAACAAAACTAGGTCCGCCCACACACTTGGATATATTCCCACAAAGTTGGGAAGTGTCTAGGTGTCAGAAAGTACCTTTGATATTTATGTATGTGCAAAAAGGAAGATTTTGCAATTTACTTGTGCTTGAAACTTTGATATATTAATTTTACTAAGTAAAGGACGAGCACTACTGCCTAAAAGTTTTTTTTTATTTAACATACATTTCCTTGAATGAAATGAAATAGTATACACATGTTTGCCACAAGAGATATGTAGGTGAGGTGACTTGATTTTACTTGGTGCTTTGGGAAATTGAGTTTGGCTTGTTATGTGCCAGAGAAAAAGTTAGAACTTCTTTTGTTCCTGTTAAGATTAGTTTGTTTTGTACTCAGAATCAATTCTCTCTCTCTCTCTCTCTCTCTCTCTCTCTCTCTCTCTCTCTCTCTCTCTCTCTCTCTCTCTCTCTCTCTCTCTCTCTCTCTCTCTCTCTCTCTCTCTCTCTCTCTCTCTCTCTCTCTCTCTCTCTCTCCTCTCTCTCTTTCTCTCTCTCTCTCTCTCTCTCTCTCTATCTCTCTCTTTCTCTCTCTCTCTCTCTCTCTCTCTCTCTCTCTCTCTCTCTCTCTCTCTCTCTCTCTCCTCTCTCTCTCTCTCTCTCTCTCTCTCTCTCTCTCTCTCTTTCTCTCTCTCTCTCTCTCTCCTCTCTCTCTCTCTCTCTCTCTCTCTCTCTCTCTCTCTCTCTCTCTCTCTCTCTCTCTCTCTCTCTCTCTCTCTCCTCTTCTCTCTGCCCCCCCCCCCCTTTTTTTACTAGTACTGTCATGCCTCCCTCCCTCACCATCCGACATTTATTTACTAACTGGAATCTCGAGAATGTATTGTTCTAGTATGTTTTTGTTCTCAATGTTAATTGTTGATGCAGTTTCCATTTTGTTATTTGCTTTTTTCTTTTTGATTTGGTTTGGCATACCAAATGCTAGCTAGTTGATGTTTTTATGGAAGATGAACACATAACACATCCAGTACATAAAGAAAACATGTTGAAATAAGAAGCATTTTATGTTCGAGCCTGTGAAGTTCCACCATAAATGAGTCGGTAGAATTAAGGGTCAAAAGTAAATAAAGGTAGTGCTAGGTGCATATCTTTTGTTTGCAGTCCCATGTAGTTACAAGCTATGTAGGGTTTCATGTGTATTTCCTGGTCCAGCAACAGGTTATCACTTCATGTGGGATATTGGAAATCATCATTTTGTATCTTTATTGTTCTTTCTTTCTGTTTTTATATTGCTATATGTTGAATCTTTGATAATTATTGTTTTTTTTTTTTTTTTTACTCAAAGACAGTAGTTGTAACTCCTGCAGATGCATTTGATTAATAACTACTTCTGTTGCAGCTACTAAAATTACTAGTACTACTATTACAGATGACTATGACTATGTGGGAATAGTAACTATTGTGACTTGTAGAAAGAAGATAATTTTGTTTGAAAAAAATAGTGTGCTTACTATATTAAGACAAGAAATACTCTTATCACTGCTAGGAACAATATGAATAATATTATTAATGAAGTACCTACTGCTGCAACTACGTTTAGTTCTACTATTTTTACAATTGCTATCACTACTGCAACCATTACTACTATTTTACTACCATTGTCTGTGATTTGCACATTTCAATCGAGACTTCCTGATATCAAGTTCAAGAAAAAACAGAGGCCTTGAAGCCCACCCTGTCAATCTAAAAGTTGAAAACAACTCTGTTTGCTAGTTCAAGATATTAGGAAAAGAAGCAAGTGGCCTAAATGCTCATCAAAAATAAACATACTGCCTCATAGTAGGGAGACCTTCACTCTTTCAAGAATAGCCAGCTGTCATGCTGACTTTGTAGCTTGTTGCCATACAGGCAGAGCAGGCGTGTACTGTACTTTTTTATTTTTTTATTTTTATTATTTTTTTAAGGGAAATCTTTGCCATTTTCCTGTAATACTTATCATGATTTCATAATGCAGTAATGAATATTTACCACTGTTGGATAGGGGCAAGTCGACTGATAGGTATGTAGGTTGATGGATGGATAAATAAAAATACATAAGAGATTAATATATATATGATTGTTAAACAATTTTGTTTCTGGAAAAAGCAAAGTTTGTGTATGCCAAGGGATACAGTATTTTGACATATTTCTCTGCACTTTTATTATCTGGGAATGGAGGGAGGGAGAAGGAGAAGGATGAGGGGTCATCGGCAAGGCAGTGTAGACACTGCTTTCACGTGAAAATATTGCATTATCACAGATCATTGTTGCTATCTTGCTGTTATGATGTTGATATCTAAGTGTAATCTCCTTTTTCATTGTGAGAATAGTGGCCATCTTTGAATTAATTCTTGATGTGTGGGAGACATAACAAACCTAGATGAGGTTTTATCATTCAGTCTTTTGAACCCTTGTCATGTAGTCTTAATATTATGTAATACTTTTATTGCCTATTTGTCATGCTTGAAATATTTTGATTTGTGGTGTTTTTCAGACATGGGTGCCAGGCAATTGCATGGTCCCCTTGAGTTTGGTTTGTGAATTTTTTACACAGATGGCAAACAGGATTTCTGGCTGACCTTATCCTGATATCCCATTAACTTGAATTTTATTTCCTTTCTTTTCCTAATGCTGCTGATATTATAACTTACTATTTGAGATTGTTATTATTAACATTGGGATTATTATAATGTTTACAACAGTGTTAATACAATAAGAAAATTGGAAATGAAAATGAAACGGGCAAGATCAGGTAAAACAGTAATTGACTTATTGACTAGCTCTTGTGGAGCTGTGTGTGTGTAATCAAAATTAGTCGGCTGAAAACACAGTGGACATGTCTTCAGTTTTGCAATCTCGGCATCAGTAGGCAAAGAATGAACTATTGGTTGACATAGCAAGGTGCTTTTATCATTTTCACTCCTCTCCTTTTCGCAAACGTAATCCTCCTCTCACATTTAATGAGGTTTTACTGAAAGTGAAATATGCTATGATTTTAATTATGATGGTCCTATTACTTTTGTGCTAACCTTGTTGATAGATAAAAAATATATATATATATTATTATTTTTATTATTATTATTGTTATAGATGTTATCATTAGTCAATTAACATACCTCCCTCTTCTTAATGCAGGACTGGGTGGCACATGGTAACAACATGAGCAAACCATGTGGCGGTAGCAGTAGTGGCAGTGGGGGTTGCCAAGGTGGGGGGGTACGACTAGGACATATCCTCAGTGAGCTCAATGGAGCGTGGTGGAGGAGGCGTTACGGGCAGTGGTAGCAGTTCCGCCTCTGGATTCCCTCGGATGTCCCTCAGATCTCTCTTGCTCAACAGTCCTTTCTCCATCCGCACAAGGTCCAAAAGGGTCGCACTCCAACCTCCTCTCGTAAGTATTTCTTTCTCTCTGGTAACACTATGTTATATCATATACATTTATCATATGTGGCCAGTGAACAACCTAAAGTATTCATGCTGATCTTTTTTAAGCTGAAACTATGTTGAGAATTGTCCTGTCATTATTTTGGTTGATTTTTTAATGTAAATTTTCTTTTTGATGTTAATGCTTCAACAGATAAATTGACCATAGAACCAGAACGAGATGCAGATTCTTTGGGAGTCTTCACAGAGGGAACTGGGGAAACCACAAGCTGGAGTTCTATCAAGCGGCATACAACCACTAGTAACAGGAGTCGCATTGGAAGTCGAAGGGGCTCCGTGGGATCCCGGGGAACAGCAAGGGCAGAATCATGCTCATCAGAACCAGTAAGATTTTGTTTTGAAGTGCAAAAAGCAGGACTTTTAATAGTCTAACTAATAACTGTTTGTATTGATTTACTACATATATGACAACTTCAGTATTCTTCATTATAAAAATCTGATTCCAGGGAGCTACAGCAAGCAGCTGTGGCAATGTCTCAGGGGGTGCAGGAGCTGGTGCAGGTACAGGGAGTACCTCTGTAGAAGGCTCATCAGAGGAGTGCGGCGTGAATGCTCCTTGTGTCTCCAAGAGGTGTCGGCTGATCTCTTCCCGACCCTTTTTTCATGCCCACACTCTGCTTGTCTTCCCTGTTTAAAACAATATTTGAAAGTAGAGATTACAGAATCGAGAGTTAACATTAGCTGTCCGCAGTGCAACGAACTCATGCATCCCACAGGTTAGTTTTTGATCTTTGTGTCATATTCCATGCTTCACAAGAACCAAGTTGGTACATGTGTAATATGTATATATTTTTTCTTCTGATAATTAGATGTTTGGCATATGCCTGTAGTTTTAACTTTAATAGTGTTATAGATAACTACATACTTGTTTTAGTAATTTGGCAAGATGTTTTTTTATATGATGATATGTTTAGAATTTAGGTGAGATCAGTTTATGAATGAGGTCTGTGTAGTAATATTTTTTAGAACTCCTAACTTTGTGTATAGTAATGGGCTTATGGATTAGTTGAGGTTTCATAGTGTAGAGCCCCTTTTATTTCTGTTTGTTTTCTTTTTGGCTGGGAGTAAAATCCAAATATTTAAGCTGACAACATAAGTATGAAGTTTGATAAGTTCAGGAGGAAGATTCTGTTATTAGTTTTGTAAAATGTTATTTAGACCAAAGGAGGAACATTTTTTATGGGCATGCAAGACTAGATTGTAGAGAAATGTGTCTCTATGATAAATTGATGAAAATAACCCTCTGGTTTACTTCTCTCTGTCTCATTGGAATTTATTGGCTTTACATGAAAAGGTTTCAACCAGCATGAATAGACATAAAGGTAAATGTCAATGAGGTCAATTAAGAAACATCCCTTTACTTCCACAGATATTCATCAGATTGTTGCAAATGATTTGCTATCAGACAAGTTTGAAGACTTCATGTTGCGCAGGGTGCTATCCATGGACCCAGACACACGGTGGTGTCCTGCCCCAGACTGTGGGTGAGTGGGAGTCACTAATGAATATTCTGCTTATAATGTGTCATTCCCTGCTGGATGGATCAAAAAAGCAGGTTGATTCATTTGCACTGCTTAAAAGTGATTGCTGCCTTATGAATATCATCATGAGTGAGGAAGTATTAATCAAACATGTATTGCAGGTTTGCAGTAATTGCAACAGGATGTGCTGGATGTCCAAAGCTGAAATGCGAGCGTCCTGGCTGCGGAAGCTATTTTTGCTACCACTGTAAGGCTGAATGGCACCCTAACCAGACCTGTGATATGGCTCGAGCTCAACGTTCACCAATGTTCTCCTCTCATCATTCAATTACCTTCATGACATTCAGACAAGTGAGTTGTTATTATTTATGTCTTTTATATCCTGGAATTTCTGGGTTTAGCAATACTCCTGCAAGTGCATAATCTTTAATTTTGTTTTTTCTATTGTGCAGGTAGAACATTTCCTTGGTTTGACTTATACTTTGCCATTTCCATTCTGGCTTCCTTTTGTAAATCAAGTTTTTCATAAGAAAGCATGTACTTGGATTGTAGTCTTTAAGTTGTAAAAAAAAATTGAATCTAGAAGTAATACATATATATATATTTCTTTTTTAGATGACGATGTCAAATCATGCCCAAGATGCCAAGTGTTGATTATGAAGATGGATGACGGTTCATGCAACCACATAACATGCAGTGTGTGCGGAGCAGAATTCTGCTGGCTGTGCATGAAAGAAATTTCTGACTTGCATTACCTAAGGTTTGTTTGTGTCTTTGTTATTGTTGACTAGCCATTGAAATGGGCATTTGTAGTTATCCAATTGTTGAAAGAGGCAACACCAAAAATAATAATCTGACTCTGCATGGAAAAAACAACCAACTATAAGTATGAATAATGTTTTTTTCCTTGTATGTTCAGCCCATCAGGGTGTACCTTCTGGGGCAAGAAACCATGGACAAGGAAGAAAAAGATCTTGTGGCAGCTTGGAACACTAATGGGCTCCACTTGGCATAGGGCTTGTTGCAGGCCTAGCTGTCCCTGCTATGATTATCGGTAAGAAAAGGTGTTCCTGCAGGTATTTCCCATACTTCTTTGCTTTGTGTGCATTGTGTGGGTGCATGTGAGTGCATGTGTGTATGTGTGTATGTGTGTGTATGCATGGGTGCAAGTGAGTGCATGTGTGTGTGAGTGTATGCTTGAGTGTGTGGGTGTGGTGCTAGGTGTGGTTGGGTGTTTGTATAGATATTGATAAAGATTTTATAGATATATAGTCTTATGTTTTTTATTTAATTTCTTCCTTTTCCTTTTTTGAACTCTTCTTTCATGCTTTTACAATTTCTCCAAATATCAGCTTTTTTTTTTTTTTCTTCGTCTTCTTTTTTCAAAGCATAATGATCATCAAATTATTTAATTTATTTAAAATAATCTTCTGTACTGACAATTTTAAAGGATGATAAAATATACTTTCATTAATATTTCAACAACAACAAAAAAATGAAATGTATATAAAAAATTTTATTTGCATTTACTTTCATAGGGATCCCCATATGGGTTGGACGCAAATTGCACGCGCGATACTCTAATGGTAGCAGGCATCGTCGAAATTTGGCTGTAGTTGGTGGTGTGACTGCTTCAGTAAGTAGAGTTTACAAAAGTGTATCTAGCTATGTACAAGGATTGTCTAAAAAAAAAATGGCGGGCATTATTTGACACATTGGCTCCTGGTACATGCACTTTCCATTGTAGTTTTATTTTGTCAATATTGTTTTATATAGATGGCTGCACAAGCACACAGTGTGCCAAAGGAGTCAGTTTCTTACACACTTCTTTATCCAGATCCTTGAAATTTCAGAAACATGTTTCTGATACTTTTATATGTCATTATATAACATTTTTATTATTGACCTTGATATTTTTAAAACATTTATCAAAAATACCAATAGTAATAAAAACAAGAACTCCTCTCGTTGACAACTTAAAGGAATAGGGTAAATAGGTATGATTAGGTAGGCCAGATAATTGACTCTTGGGTGTTTAAGTATTTCTGTATTCATTTATGTATAAATAAAGTTGATAACAAAAAACACAGTCAATGTCAACTTATTAATAATTGCTTGTCTGATAATCTATATTTATATGTATTTGTTTTCTTTATACTTTTACAGGCTGTAATATCACCAGTGCTTGCAGGATTAGCAGTGAGCATAGGTGTGCCAATTTTATTGGCGTATGTGTATGGTGTTGTCCCAATATCTTTGTGCCGTTCAGGAGGCTGTGGTGTTACAACTTCAGCCTCTGGTGTTAGATTGCTTTTGATGATGAAAATGACATGGTATTTGGATTACCTGGAAGACAATCAGGTAAGACATAGTTTCACTTTGGTAATTGACAGCACAATGAATTATGCGAAGCTGTGAAATTCTGTAGTATATTTGTTTGACTGCTCAAATATTCTTTTCATCCATTACATTACTTACATTAATTTCTTTGGGTAGTAATATACAGTGGTCCAATTTATTGATCGTGAAATCTCTCTACACAGAATCAAGCCATGTGGGAGGTGGAACAGCCAGCATTGGGGAGATGTCTTGTGGGGCATCACTCTCTGCGGATTCTGCTGCACATGTCTTAGCAGAAAGTGACCGTGTGAGTCTGCCAGCAACACAGCCATTGCCCCAGCATCCTTGACAGGCTCTATAGCTTCCTCATGCATCTCTAGAAACAAACAGGTAAATGTAACAACAGAATAGACTTATTTTTGTTTCCTTTGGTTCATTAAAGTGAAGTAAAGTTTTTTCCAAAGATAATTAGTACTGTTTGTTATTGCTATTTCTGAATCTTGATAATATTAAAATTTGTGTATGTAAGAGGGTTACATACTGATGCAAGAAGTAGCATCTGAATGAGATATTAGATAAAATACAACAAGCCGATATTGAAAATCTATACTAGAAAGTTCCATGCTGTCTAAAACTCATTGATTTTTTAGATCTGTAAGATGTAAGCAGTGAAAATGTGTTTAATACTCCTATGGGTTCTTAGAACTTGGGAGTATTTCACTTATGTGTCTTCAGTGATATGTTGCTTTTGTGTTTTAACAGATTGGAAGTTCATGTAGATATTGCACATGGTGCTCGTTCAATCGCCAGTGGGGAAACTGCTTCATTAGCAATATCAGAGAGATCAACCCACACAATGGACACAGACAATGCATCAACCCGGGCTTTAACTGGTTCTCTTTTGCAGTACAAGGTATGCTTTATTTTTTCTTGATATCTGTAAGCATCACATTGTGAAGTTTTTCTTTCTGCATTGATTGATTGATCTTCCTCTGTGTCATTTATGTCAAATTATATGCATTATGCTGTAAACAGTGACATTTTTTTGAAGTTCAGACCAGTAACATTTACCTTGGTCTTTAAGTATTAGACATGTAAATATCCATAATGTTCCCTTTTCTATGTATACAACTATTTTTTTGCCATTAGTTTAACCCAGTGTGCGTGGTCTATTTCGGCAGCCGCTTGGTCTGCCAAATGGGGTACATATGTATGGTTCGGGCATGTGCTCCAGGTTTATTTTCTTGTTGTGCTCACCTCAATGACTTCCCAGCCACTTGCCTAAATTTGAAGAGCACAATCCTTCAACATCAACTTTTACATGCACTCAATTTTACATTTTACATGGTCACTTTTTTACTTTATCAATGTAATAGTCACTTGAAATAATAGTGAATATTCCAAAGAAATTAATGAATGAAAAAAATATATATATAAAAAATGGGCAATAATAGTGAATACTCTAAAAAAAAAATAATGAATGAAAAATGGGCAAGAGAGAGAAGAGAGAGAGAGGGAGTGAGTGTCAGAGTATATGGATTGACTGACTCACATGAGAGGTAGAAAGGTAGACATAAAAAAAAGAGAAAAGTACAATGTATTTGAAGAACATATGTCATGTCATTCACAGGTTTAGAATGAGTACCCTCAAATCTGTCACATGTAAATGAGGTCACCTGGGAGTGTAGTCCAGACTGCCATGTCATCTATAGAGTTGGCACCCATGTACTAAGGGTTAAATACTTAGTCAGTATCACTATTTATAGAAAAGAAAATGTGTGCAGGACTTATGAATATAGTGGTTGATCAAGGACCATTGAGTTACCAAAACTTCTAAAGAGATTATGAATTATGTATATTTATTTTAAACCTTTTATTGAATAGGGTCTTTTAAGTCCTAGTGTAAATTTAAGCAAACTTCCAATCTAACAGGTATCAGAGAGCGAGGCTGAGGAAGAAGCAGGAGCAGGAGGGGACAGTGCCAGCAGGGTGTTAGAGGACGGGGTCGGTGTAAACCCTCACATTACCAGCCTTTACATCCACTCCATTCCACCCTCGGCAAGTGATAACAACTCGGCTGTCTTGACCCATGATGCCAGTAGTGACCAAGGTGCCACAGACTTACGACTAGATAGTGTAAGTGCAATAATCACTGCCAGACAGTTTGCTCGGCGCCACAGTTCCTCAAGCAAGGGAGTGACCTTTCTAGGAGACAGCTGCGAGGCCAGTGACCATGTCGCTCTCACTTTGGATGATGATGACGAGCATGAGAATGGGTCAGACAGTCTCTTTGGTAATGAGGAGATTCCTGGAAATTGTCCAAATATCACTCCTATGGTGGATCTGCAAAATGAAAGTGAGAGGGCAGTTACACACAAAAACCCAGGAGGAAGGTTGTTGCATAAAAATGTTTTGTTCAGCAATAGCACCTCTACCTTGCCATTAGTCCATGAAAGCCAGAGAAAAAAGAAGAGCAAAGGAGAGAGCAGCAAGCGTCGAGCATCCAGTGCAGAAGGCAAAGTGCGGAATTCCAGTAAACCAGTGCGATGCGAGTCCTTCCCCAAGCTGGAGAGCCAGTGAGTCTGTGATAATCGCATCTTCCTTTATATTCACTGATGGGTAAGATAAGGACATATTAAAAATCTTCAGTGTGATATCCCAATTGGGAAGCTTTACATTTAGTATGTTTAAGCACAAAGAAAATATTTGAAACTAGTTTATTGTATTTGGAGACGCAACAGGTCTGCATTATTTTAATTGACATTTTGGGTACCAACTCTTGGTTCATAAAATCTCTGCAGGAGGTGGAGTTATATATTAGTAAAGCATGGTCACTTTTTCTATGTTGTTATTATTTTGGTCAAATTAGCCATGTTGAAAGAAATTGGTATTTTCTTGCAAATATGTTCATGAGAAAATTATGAATCTTTTAAGATTAGAAATAAATTCTGGGATGTTTCTCCTTTCCTCCCTCTCCTTCCTCCTTCTGCTTCCCCCCCTCCTTCTTCTCCTCTCCTCTCCTCACTCTTCCTGCCATTCTCCTCTCTCCCCTCTGCTTTCTCTGTCCTCCCTTGTCTCCATCCCCATCTTTTTCCTTTGCTTCATTACACATACTTTGTCTTTGGTAAGCTTCCATTTGTAACTGTATGGATGAAATTCTTTTTGTGTTCCATGGAGCTTTCTGTGCTGAAAAAAGTATTTACTAACATAGAATTCATGTCCATTTGAATGAAGATGATTACAATGTTATAAATGTGTTTAGTGTATATTGGCTATCCTTTTTCTTTCTTCTTTCTTTTTTGTATCCCCTTTTCTTCATCATGGGTTTTAATTAAGGTGCATATTTTGAAGAAGATGGTGATAAGTGCAGGTTCCTGAGTTTCTCAATATAACAACTTGTCAGCATAAGCAAGTGTAGTGTGAGGAGCATTCCAGAATTTGGCCGTGCTTTACTCCAATAAACATTCCAGCCTCAGTGTTATTGTGGATGTAGATACTGTACAGTTTATTAATAGCGCTGGCAAATATTTGTACCTTTCTAGTCGTTGCAGAATCATGAAGCTGTGGACTTTGTGTTTATACCGTAGTGTAATGATAGACAGTGGATGTTGCAAGTGTACTTTTTTTGCACTTGATTCATGGAATTTTCTTAGATGTATTTGAATATGAGGTTTTGTGATTAAAGCAGAAAATGCTTCAAAATTATTGCTCCTTATAGGCACAAGGAAACTGTCCATAGCATTACAGTGGATCATTTATCTTTTATAAATGTTTTTGTAAAGCAAAATGCCTTGCTTTTTAAAGTTTGGAAGTAAGCATATGGGTATACTGATGTGAGTTGCAGCTGCTTTCCATCTAATTAGTTGCAACAAGAATTACTTCTCCTATGTGCATTATCTGCATGGAAGTGCCACACAACTTACAACTGCATTCACTCTTTACAGAAGAGAAAGGGTGTTTTATGCAGGTAAAGAAACAAACACAGATTTGATGTCTGTTGTTGATTTTTTTTTCTTTTTATCTATATGAATAAATGTATAATATATGTATATTAACATAATGAACAACATTCTTAGTATAAATTAAAGATATCATTTTTATTTACCCTTTCCTTTATGAAACGTAAGTGTATGATAAACTAGTATGAAAGACAAACATACTGAATAACAGATGTGTATGCACAGATACAGATGCTCCTAAACAGAATCACTTATATTTACAAGCCCTCATTCAGCTCAGGCCTCATCTCCCATCTTTCAGCTCATTTGAATGCAATCATTATTTATATAATAACAGACTTATTGATCAATGTAGGTACAATTGCATCATGATACATCCTAACCACTTAGAGCATTGAGGTGTACTCTGCTCTCATAATACACTTGTAGAATAAACACAAGTTGTACATGTTATCTTGGAGAATATTTATAGTTTCTTCTGGTTGCAGTCCATTTTTCCCAAACAGTTACAAGATGTAACTTAATATGGTTATTATCCCATAAGGCTTTTTATTAGGTGCTATGCAGACAAGTACCCAGAAACGACCAAGTTCTTTTTTTTTGTAAATATGGGTATATGCAAAAAAACAAACACATCGGGAGAATAATGAATGATGTATAGATAAGTCGAGATAAAATAGGTAAATGAAGAAAAAAAATGATAAAGGAAAATGCTTTTAATAAAGTTAACAAAAATTATGGCATATTTCTTCCATGCAGGTAATTGCATAACATGGTAAATGTGTACGTGATTGTTATCGTATACCTATAGTTAATGAAATTAACTGTAAACCTTAAAAAAAAGTGGAATGAAAATGTATTCAGTAACCAGTAAAATAACTTCAGAATATTTGGAAATCATTATCATTTTGATGATGATGATGATGATTATTTTCTCTGTGGCTTTACTAAGATATTGTTGTTTATGTTCTTACAATAACAAGAACCTGTGAAATTGTCAGTATTCTTCTAAAGAAATGTCAGGCATTAATAAACCTTTTTCTTCATTTGATGTATGTAAGGTTCCCCTCTTATCAAAACTAGGAGTTTTTAGAGGAGTGAGGTTATAAGGGGTAATTCATACATTTCCTAGAGAGAGAAAAGTATTGCAAAGCAAAATTATACAGAAACTACAATGAAAAAGGAATTTTAAGAAAATTGTTTTGATTGTAGGAATTATTGAACGTCATTACTGAATCATAATCAAACCCCTATACACTGTCTTTCATGCACATCTACAGAAGCATATACAGATATGTTCATATGGAGACATACATGAATGTTTGTGTAGGTGCTTAAACACACATGCACACGCACACGCACACGCACACGCACACGCACACACACACATATATAAACACACATAACATAAACACACACACTTGTATATATAAACACACACACACATATATATAAACACACATAAACACACACACTTATATATATAAACACATGAAAACACACACACACACACACAATTAACATATAAACACACACAAAATTAACATAGAAACACACAAAATTAACATAGAAACACACACACATTAACATAGAAACACACACACATTAACATAGAAATGCACACACATTAACATAGAAACACACACACATTAACATGGAAACACACACATTAACATGGAAAAACACACACATAAACATATAAACACATATAGACATATAAACACACATACATATTTTGCATTTATAAAGTTTCATTTTTTCCAAAAGACTGAACTAGATTCAACCCAAATAGGTAATTAAAGTCAGCAAGTATTATATAATGGATGTGACAAAAGAAAATAGTATAGTATTTGGGTGAGAGGTCCACAGTGTATTCAAACTGGTTAAATTGAAAAGTGATATTACCCCATTTAGAAACATTCAGCCTTCTGACCCCCAAGATATACACTTCACAGAATATCATGTTTCTGTAAAACAGCTGGCATTGTGTGATGAAAAAGAATTGTTCACAGCTGTCAAAAAGAAAATATCATCAGTGTGGTAAATTTTGAACTAATAGACGCAGAGAGTAAAGTCCAGAAAAGGAGTGGTAAATGTTAAGTAATGCCATTGAGGAGGGTAGCTCAGTTAATAACAGGTGCTAGAAAAACGTGATATTGGTGCTCATTTAATTACTTCCAGTGATATGAAAAGGGATTTTGAGCAAATTCAGCAGTGATTAAAAGGTCAGCTGTAATTGAAACCAACTGCTATGTTAAGATGTATAATTCAGATGCCATATACTGAAATCAAACCTATAATGCTTCTAAAACGGAAATTTAAAAGTTAACAATTTCCAATCCCAAAAGTATTAATCTACAAAAGAGATCCATCGTTTTGAAAAAAAAGCAAGAAATGAAAATTATAGCAGGTTACATGTATGACTAACATAACCATTAAGAAGCCTTACATAGACATAAAGAGCCGAGTTCTCTTATTTCCTCAACTGTCTGGTATCAGATTGGACTGGAAGCCTCAGAGAAGATTTAAACAAGTTCCCTCCTAATGATTTTATATTCTATCATATTGGTTTTGTTGTATAGATTGTGAATGTGATTTACAGCTCAAGTACAGTATTTTAGTGTTTTGTATGTGTAAAACAATGTCTTATTGCAATAAGGACAAATTATTATATCTCTGTATACTCAAAAATATATAATGCAGACTGCTGTTTTCATTCATTCATGCATTTAAGAATGTCGGAACATTTGATTTCCTGATATGTCTTCACATTTGTTCAAAAGAAAGAAAAATGGTAGTGATCACTTACAGCTTCCAACCATTGTGTGTTAAATATGACATGTAGACTTCTTACAATTTCAAACCAATTAGAAAAAGTGATGAACTGTTAATGCCTATTTTGTCATTTTTTTCCTTTCTTTCACTTGTTCACCATTCTTCATTTTACTTTCCTAATTTTCCCTGTATTTGCTTTCTTTGTTGACACTCTCCCTTTCATAACATCTCATCTTTCACAGCTTTTCTGAACCTATTAGCTCAAATGCACTTCCAACCATCTGTTCTGTTTCTGTCTTGCTATCTATTTATCTATCTATCTATCTATCTATCTATCTATCTATCTGCCAGTTTGAATATACCCCCCCCCTCTCTCTCTCCTCTCTCTCTCTCTCTCTCTCTCTCTCTCTCTCTCTCTCTCTCTCTCTCTCTCTCTCTCTCTCTCTCTCTCTCTCTCTCTTCTCTTCTCTCTCTCTCTCTCTCTCTCTCTCTCTCTCTCTCTCTCTCTCTCTCTCTCTCTCTCTCTCTCTCTCTCTCTCTCTCTCTCTCTCTCTTCTCTCTCTCTCTCTCCTCTCTCTTCTCTCCCCCCACCCACACCCCAGGGCAGGAGTTCATTCTGTAAAGATATTTAATTTAAGTTGACAACTTTGTATGGAGGTATTACATTTTTTCTTCTTTGTATATTCACTTAAAATAGCTGAAAAAAGAAATGTTTACTTCTTTTGGTTACTTCTTGGTACTAATTTTGGTTAAGGATAGATGTTTAGAAAGACTTGATAAGTCGCATCAGTAATTCCCATCCTTACCGGTCTGTCAGAGGAAGTATAACGTTAAAAACATTTTTTTTCCTCTAAAATATTCTGTGCAATTCAGCAACTGCTTCCTTTAGATATTATAAATTATGAAATTGAAGTTTTAGAATCAATATTATGCAAAGGTTTGCTTTTTCAGTGACATATTTTTCGCATTTCCTTTTTTGTATTGATTTTTGGAGTGTTTCTCACATTTTTAAAAATCCATTTTAACTTTAGCAAGTGCATTTCATCTAAAAAGTTTGCCATGGTATTACTGAAAGTGTCAAGGTTTTCTACAGTTGTCTTCAGATTTAAGTTAAGTGCTGCTTGCTTGTGATAAATGATTCCCTTGGTGTTCAAGACACTATATATAAAAAGACTGTGTGAGACTTTTGGTCTAGCTGTCACTGCCAGATGTATCTTTTTGCCTCTACAAAACAAATAGATATGGGCATTTTGTGTATTTCTTACAGTAACTTTTTTCCATTGTATTTTCATTTTCTTTATGATTACAGAAGAAATGTTTCTTGTAAGGGACTAAATGTGTGCTTATTGGTAGACAAATGCTTAAAAAAGTAATGAATTGATGCAGTTCTGGTATTAAATTTACTGTGTACCTGAGTGTACTTTAATCACTATAATGGAATTTTGTAGGGTTAAGGAAAGGAATAAAGATTAGAATGTATTAATATATTCTCAAAGTTAAGCAAATAAATTGTGATGTGAACAAAATTTTAGGGCTTTTGTTATTGTTGTTTTTGTATATTCTGAATAAAGGCATGGTTTTTAAAAAAGGTAAAGAAGAAAAACAGCAATACCATTAAAATAGGAAAAAAATAGAACTAATGCTTATTCTCTGTGAATAAGACAGATTATATGCATATCTAAATCTTGAAAAGGGTAACAGCCTGTAAGTTTTGAAGAGGAATACCTGCTGCTGTAGACAGAAAAAAATACAATAATCAGCTTTTGCCTGACATATTTGTAGATTCATTATACAAATAGTTCATTGATTCATACAATTGTATGGGTAAAATTCTGTTTCCAAATCCATCTGTTGCACATACTGTGCAAAAAATCAGATGAATTTATTTTTATTGGTTAGACTAAGGTATATTTGTATTATCATTTGAATGACTTCCTTATCATTGAAATGATCTTGTTTGTTATATTGTCAAGGTATAGTGTACATAGTATGTATTGTAAATTTGTCACAATAAACATTATATACAAATAATAGTTCACCCTTTCAGTTTCAACAATGGTCAGGTTTCCATTTGATTAAACTTAATAGTATTGCAAAACTAACCAGAACTCGTCTAATACCTAAGATGCTGTATTGAGTGCCAAAATGTCAGATAACAGCCTAGATTTACATCTGTAATTATTCTTGTTAAACACTTTTTTTACAGTAATTACCATTTATTTCTGCAACAGTTAATATGCATTAAACTGATTTTTTTTTAAGTTAAATATAGCATTTTTATCTTTTGGAGCATTTATGGTTCCAGTCAGTCCCTCATAAAACACACATATATATAAGTTTTGTTTTATTGAAAAGATGAATGATTATTTCTGCTTTTGCTGCCAACCAAGCAAAACTTGAAAATAAGCTAATATGTTATTAATGACATACTGGTACTTAGTGGAGAGTATCACAGATCAGCAATCACTTATAATGTATTAGTGTAAACAGTTAACAAATATATATATTAATGTAATTTAAACTTAACATTTCCTTAGAAAATGTTCATTGTCATACAAGACAAAAATTGCATAAAAACACTTTTGTACTGCAGTTATGTGCTTTATAAATGTCTACCCAAATAGCTTGTAAATCAAGAACAAAATATAGCTTTCATTATACAAGATATGTGTATAAAATCACATTTATAATCATATATGTATATACAATATATTTACACCCCAAAGGAAGCATATAATATTTACACTGATCTAAAATTCACGTTTCTACATTAAGTCTGCATTAGATGTTACACGGACTTTACTTCTGACTGAAATAGTTTCATCAATAGACACTGAGGATACAGCTGCAGCGTGGATTCCAAACTTCATATAAGAACCTCTTGTAGCTGCCAATGTGATCATGGGCTCTTTCATCCTCTCCCCAGTTTCCGGAATGACACCCACCATCTGGCACCTGTTACACCCTCCTTGAACCTAGTCAGGAGAAGAGGTAGTTAAAATGATGGTGAATAGTGATGGTGATGATGGTGTAGGGATTCTTCAAGGCAATAAGATAATGTGATAGGTATGAAATTTATATGTATCCTTATGCATATGCATAAATACCTTAAATCTTAGCTTGCCCAGTAGCAGTTCCTCCCATGAGTCCTCCTCGTAAGGCTCCCCTCCATCCAGTACCAGGTTGGCTCGGAATCGACTTACGAGTTCCTCCTGGCATTAATAAAATTACACATGTATAAGATAATTTATCTAGATACATCATTGAAATG